AACATATATTTAGTAATTATAGGTTGATGTTTAGTATGTTTTCTCAATCTGCTTTCTAAAGAACATGCAAAACCAAGAGATTTTGACCTAAACTCACTTGGTTTATAATTTTCCACACTTTTTACATATCACTTTGCCTTTCTCAAAACTAGAGGTTGGATAAAGTAAGAAAATCAGTTTTAAATAAGTTCTGAATAGCTGTTTTCATGAAAGAAGCAGAAACAATAAGCTACTTCTTTCCATCTTTGTTCACTCAATGTTTTTAAAGTGACTCAGGCATGAGTATTCCTTCATGATAATCTTAACTCAATAAAATTATTTGTAGCAACTACTTTTTTTTTTTTTTTTTTTACTGTTAGTTAATATTTTACATAGCAACCACTATATTTTATCTTTCTAACTAACTTTTCTCCTAACTAACCTTTGGATTTTGCTGACACTTATTTTATAAAAAATTGTAAATATTAAGCATTAAATATTACATACATTTATTCAACAATTACCTATTGAGGGTCTACTATGTACCTGGACCTCTGTACACACTAGGGATAAACAAAATCCTGACCATCACAGAGCTTATATTCTTATAAAGATAAATGACAATAAACAAGATAAAGTCAGTCAAATATATGGTATACTAAATAGTGGTAGGTACTAAGGAAAATAATACATCAGAAAGGGGGTTAGAAAATATTAAAGAAAAGAGCTATAGAATACATAGAGAAGGTAACATCTGGGTCAAGACCTGAAAGAATGGAGCTAACCATGGAAATATCAAAAGGAAGAACAATCTAGGTAGAAAGATCAGCAAGCACAAATGCTCTGATGTAGAAGCATTCCAGTATGTTTGAGGAACAGCAAGGAGATCAGTGTGGGTAGAGAAAAAGGAAAGAAGACAAAATAAGATAAGTAGCAGGCTATGGAGAGGGGAGTCTAATTATGTGGGGCCTAATGGGTCATTTGTAAGAAATTTGGCTTTTCCTTTACTTAGAGTAAGAAGAAAAGCCATTGAAGAATTCAGAATGGAAGAGTGTAAGATGTGACATATTTCAATAGTATCACTTTAGCTGTTTTACTAAGATAAGACCAAAAGGAAAAGACAATAGAAGACCAGTCAGGAAACTACTGTTATAATCCAGCAAGAGCTAGTGGTGGCTTGGATCAATGTAGTGGCAATGCGGAGTGTAGTAAGTGGTTATATTCTGTATATCCAACAGGATTTTCCAAAGAGATGGGAGAGGTCATAAAACCAAAATAAAGCAACTACAGACATAGGATGAAAACCAGGCAAGTAAGGTGTCCTACAAGCCAAGTGAAGAAAAATGTTATGAAGAAGAGAGTGATCAACATTCTTAATCAAATAAAGGACTGATAAGACTGATCAGCAACTATAGAGCTGAAAACCTGCTTGAAGTGTGTTCCAGACAAAAATTAAAATTAAAAAATAGACATTTTATACAGACATCTTAAAAGTGTTTTTTGCTGTAAGGGGTTTGGGAGAAATTAGGCAGTGGCTAGAGAAGGAAGTAGAGAAAGGACTTTTTTTTTTTTTTTTAAAGATGGGAGAAAATATTAGGGGCTAGTGGGAATAATCTAAAAATAGAAAAAAAAATGGGAGCAAGTTCAGTTGCACCAATATGGATACCTAGACTCAGGTGGAGCATGTCTTTGGACTTAGAAAGCAGGACGTCTGACTTGTGAATGGGAACCTCTGTGTAACATGAGACCAAAGAGCAATTTAAAAATGAATGATGTTGAGAAGGGCAAGAAGATTTTGTACAAAAGTGTGCCTGAAGCCATACTATGGGAAAGGGAGGCAAGCACAAGACTGGAAAGGGAGGTAAGCACAAGACCATCTCCATGGTCTATATGGGTGAAAGAAAAGTCGGATCCCTGATTTTTTGCCAAAAGGACAAAGGCATCACCTGGGGAGAGATGGAATATTGGGAGAATCCCAAGAAGTATATCCCTGGAACAAAAAATGATCTTCGCTGACATTAAGAGGAGTGTAGAAAGGGCAGGCTTGGTAGCTTATCCTAAAAAAAGCTACTAACAAGTATAATAATAGGTGGCCACTGCCTTTTTACAACAAATGTTTTATGACATTTTTTTATTTGTACCATATTTAAATTGATCTCATACACCAGAATTCAGATCATGAACAGCTAGTAAAACATTTCTTTTGGGCAGTTCTGATTTAAATAAGATTGGCTTGTGGTTAAATTAATGTAATCAGCATTTTGAACTTCGATGGTAATTTCAGTTCAGCAAGTGCTATCATTGTTTTCCCCTTCTAAAAAATGACTGGCCCTGATTCATAATGTTTAACTTTTCACAGAGATGGTGAATGCCATCCTAAACCCTATAGATTGGCTTTATACCTCGATTTATATAACTGGTGTATTAATATGTTTAAATACTGAGGAAATCCCTTTACTATTTCTTAGACCAGCAAGACTCACTTGTATTTCAAGTTGTGCTTATTCGCAAGGTCTTAAGATGAGCTGGCAGTGTCCACTTTATCATTTTGGTACTAACTATGCCATTTCAATTAAAATTTCCTATCTAAACTGTTGCCTTCATCTAGTTTCCTTTTATTTAATAAAAGACATTTCAGTGTGGTTTATGTATAATATCAAATAAAGAACACTTAACACTTCTCACATTTTATAGATGATCTATAGGGTCAGATGCTTTTAAAATTCAGCATGAGCCTTAGCCAGTTTGGCTAAGTGGAAAGAGTGTCAACCCTCAGACTGAGGGTCCCTGGTCCACATCCAGTCAAGGGCATGTACCTCAGTTCCGGGCTTGATCCTCCTCTTGGGGAGGGCATGTACAGGAGGCAACCAATTGATGTATCTCTTCCACATAGATGTTTCTTTCTCTTTGTCTCTCCCCCTCCCTTCCACTGTCTCTAAAAAGAAAAAAAAGTCAATGGAAAAATATCCTTGGGTGAGGATTAACATAAAAAAAAATTCAGCATTACAATATATAGTAGCAAACATTGCTTGTGAATTCTTTAAGTCAGACAAGTTATAATTCAAGATTGTGTTGAACAGTTATTCAAAAACAACTATAAAATTACTGTATATATTTGTGATTGGTAATGGTGCTTTTGACAACTTACTAGAAGGATTAAAGTAGAGAATAGATTAGCAACACAAAATTGTGAATTATGTGATCAAAAGGCTTGGTAATTTTAAAAAATCACAGATCAAGAAATACATAAAAGAGAGGAAAAATGACACAAAATTGGAGAATTGTTACAGCAATGATGAGAAAACTAGTATATAAGTGGGTGAATTGGCCTTAGCTAGGAATATAGTGAGTTCACTTCTCAAAGAAGAGAGAATAAAGCACATGGACACAGATGTTCTCCTCTGATTGCTTCCATTTTTTCAGTGAACTAGAAAGCAAGATGGTAGAAGTGCCAGAGGTTTAAAGAGAAAGGAGAATGTATCAGTAGTTACCTAGAATATGGAACAGTGAATGGACTGAATAGCATTAAGGACTCTTGGAGGTTAGGGATTATGAATTTCAAGTAAAGCCAGTGAGTACGGTTATGTTTTTTTTCCTCTCTGTGCATGTTCAAATGTATAGACTTTAAGCTGGGTAAGGAGGATCAGAGACAGTGAAAATAAAATAGGTTTAAAAGACTTAAGATTCCAATAGGCTCAAAGATTTGTAGGAGTAATAGAAATTGTGATATGAAAGATAATAGGTGGCAGAGAGTGCAAACTGTTAAGTTGAAATGATGGAGGAATTAAAGTTTGAATAAAGACAAGGTCAAGAAGTAAGTAGTGAGGTAGGGTGGAGGGCAAAATTTATTGGAAAAGAGGAATTCCAATGTTTGAAGACACTAATGTACTGAAAGAATTATCCACATGAACATTGAAATCACAAGTAGTATTGAAGTAAAGGCACTGAATAATTTTTCATGAGTCTCCCATATCTGTATATAATGTGAGCAGAGTTACTGTCTTTATTGTGGACTATCTTTTCAAGCAAGCTTGTGTAGCAAACAGCCTTAGAAAATAGAGAGTATCTCTCCAAAGCAAAGGGTAGGTTTACCCTTAGAAAATATTATCTTCCTCCACTTCAAGGGCAGACATCCTTAGTGTCCACCATCAAAGATTCAAGTTCCCTAAGCTTGTGGTTCCTCTGCTATCATTCAATCTACTGTGTATGCAAGTATCACATGGCTCTTTTCAAATCACACTTTGGAAATTGGGACTTGAGGACCCAGTGTAAGCAAATGCTTTTACTTTGGCTACTGCTCTTGCTGTTAGTAATAAAGTCCTTTGTTTCTGGCCCAGAAAATCTCTCCTCTTCTGCCAACATCCATGAAACTGTGATAGTTAACTTGTTAGTTTGCAAGTAGGGTAAAATCTCAAATCCTTGAAAGTTTTTCATAGAATCTTCAATGAATGGAAGGTGGGAATAAAAGATTACTGCAACAAGATGGATAGAAGGTGGTATAGTTTAATAACATGAGATAAAGTGTGAAGATATTTTAGAAGAGATAATGAACTGGAAAAAGCAATGAGAAGCAAAGCAAGGGAAGACCTCCAGGATCAATGTTATACAGAAAGCATGAGAGGCAATGTTACAGAGGATGTTAAAAATAAAGAGGAATTTCCTGATGACTGACCTTTAGCTCCAGGGACATTATAAAAGATTTTCAGGAGACATAGAAGAGTGAATTTTGAGGTCAAATCTGGATACACATGGTAAGAGACTTATGACTCGTGGGCTTCTTATGGTGACTTACATGAACAAGAAAAAAGGAGCATGATGAAATTAGTTTTGATTAGTCTTAATTAGATTAAGTTAGTCTATGTGTTTTTATATCCTTCCTCCCTTTTATCCACCCAATACTACTGTGGAATGCTTCATTTCTTACCAAAAGAAACATCATTTTAGAAAATTTGCAACATACATATTTTAAAAAATGTAAATGGCAAAATTGTTATTTAAGATAGAGGCAAATGTTAACTTACTTGAATAAGGTCTAAAATGCCAAGTTCACTTTCTGAAGAATCCACACAGAAGACAAAATATAACGTTGCATAATGTCTATAAATTAGTTTGTTGTCAGATCCTCCAATTAATCTAAATGACAAAACAAAACAATTGGAAAGGTATAAGAACAAAATGAAAAACATTTTCATTATTTCAAGCAAACTGATAATTTACTTTAAAACATTTTATAAAATAAAAGGTAACATTTACTGACATAGCTTTCAAGTGAACTTGTATCAGAGACTGAGTAAATTAAGGTGTTTGTTTTCTTAAAAAATATCAAGTAAAAGATGCTGCTGTGTTATTTTAATTCATTCATTCACTAAACTATCTACTGAGTATATACTATGTGTCAGACACTGATAATGGATAAGGAGCAATAAACAAACATTATCAGAGTAGAAAGCACCACACAGAGAATCAAAATAGAATGCTACCATATTGATGGGTTCATTACTTCAGATTAGATAATATTTAGGCCAAGATCTAATAATCCTGCGACAGCAATGACAGAATTTAGAGAAGAGCATTTCAGGCAGAGATAACAACTAATAAAAAGGCCATTTCATCAAGAACAAAGTATGGATGTTCAGGGAAGAGAAAGATGGTCTGTAGACAAAGAAAGATTAGTAAGCAATGAGGTCAGAAAGAGGGCAGAAATCAGATGACAGGGCATTTGAAAGTGCTTACTAAATTTAATTACATAAGCCACAAGCTTAAGACTGATTAGAAACGAGGGAAGGAAGAAAAAAAAAAGAATGACATTTCTACTTAAGTTGGACAGATTTCCCAATAGAATCATCAAAAACACATTTTGTTTTGAAATATAAATACAAAACTACAAAAACTCAATTCTTTAATCAAATGTCTTTATGTATATTTGTTAGAATTATACCATTTAAAAAATAATCTTTTCAAACATCTTACATTTTTCTAAATATAGTTTAGCTATCATAGTAAAGTTCACAATAATTAGTTTGTTCATCTTCTCAAAAGACCTTCTAATGCTAACATAAAATCAAGACTAAATGTAATTAAAGCTAACTAAACACTTAAAAAAGGGGGAAATGGCATGTATTACTCAGTAAAAGTAACATTGAAGCCCTAGCTGCTTAGGCTCAGTGGATAGAGAAATCAGCCCGTGAACTAAGGGTTGTGGGTTCAATTTGGTCAAGGGTAGATACCTCAGTTGCAGGCTTGATCCCTGGTCCTGGTCAGGCAACCAATGGACCTGACTCTCCCACATCAATGTTTCTCTCTCTTATCTCTCCCCCTCCCTTCCACTCTCTCTGAAAATTCAATGGAAAAATATCCTTGGGATGAGGATTAACAAAAAAATAAAATAAAATCGGTAGATAAAAGTAATACTGAAATTATAAGTTCTATAGAAACAATTTCTCTATCTTATGTCTCTTTGACAAAATTTTTTAAACTATGCTAGATAAGTTTATAGAAAAGATTCAGTTAGAAAATATGTACACTTTAAAGATTCTCTAAGATTATTTTTATAGGTTATTATTGCAATTGTTCCGTGAAAGACACAAAAAGAGAACAAGCAGTGGGTTAAGAGGAGACCAAACTTTTGGCATTATTGAATGGCTATTAATGTGGTTAAAAAAGGCTATGTTGTTAAAAGAAAGCAAAGATATTAACATGGCAAGTATATATTTACCTTTAAAAATATAATTTAATCTTTAAACTATAGTACAATACTGATACAAATTCTTATATGGAATGCAATACACCATATAAAACCACAGGAAATCTTCTTAGTCCAAATACCAGATAAAAACTGGGGTAGAAGATTTTGTTACCTGACCAAAAAAACCAGCATATTAGTGACAAAACTAGGACTAGACCAGATGTGTATTCTTATCTCTGATGCAATATTTGATATCTATTTTTTATAAGGTAGGAAAAGAATAATCACAAAATAAAGCCATAATTTATAGTTAAAACAGTGCCTGATTAGATCAATCTGGTTTTTGCATGTTTACCACATGCAGTGCACTATGGTGGGTGGTAAGTTTCTTATAAGATAAGAGATTAAGAGACTGATATGACAGAAAGTAATAGTGATGGCAAAGACATTAAATTATAAAGGTGTTAAGAGAAATAAGAAAATACAATTAAAATGTAAAAACAGAAACCAGGGGTACCTGTCTCAACTATTAAATTGATAGCCTTAAGTTAATAGCAAAATTTACAAATATTTATAAATTTAAGTGGAGCATGATATAACCTTTTATGAAGTGAAAGTAAACTTTCTATGAGGTAAAAAGTTCAGTTAAGAGTGATTTCAGATAAACTTTCTATGAGGTAAAACGTTCAGATAAAAAAATGCATATATTTTTCATAATGTGCATTATATACCTTAAAATAAAAAAGTGTAGGCTTCTCTGACTAACTGATTATTCATAAGGGGACTCAGTTAAAGTTCAGTTTTTGAATTGTCAATGAGGAAATACCTTAATTAGAAATCAATGATATAATGGGGGAACATTTATAAAACTATTTGAGAGCACATTATTTTCATGAAACCCATTAATTTAAAAGTATTTATAATAGTTGGCAAGTTAATTATAAGTAATTTTATTTTAAAGTTATTTTTGTTGCAATATGTGTGACATATAACACTACAAAGTATAAGTAATTCTTACTTTTCATTTAAAATAGAAAAATATATTAGCTGAATTCTAATTTATATACAGAAATGCCTGTACATATACACAGCACACATATAGACATAGATTTGAAAAGAAGACTTCAGTCTTGTTTGTAATAATAAAATAAAGTATGTAATCTAAAACTTAGTGAACAGATCTATTCACTCTAAGGAATAGCCTTGTAGTCATTACAAAGAATAAAGTTGCTCTAGATGTGTTTATACGGCAAAGCTTTTCAAATTACTAAGTGAAAACAAGAAATATGCAAACTAGCATAACTGTTTGATCTTAAGATCACACTTTTATATGATACAAAATTAATTTTCTAGAAAGACACACAAAATTTTGGGAAGGAGGACTAAATTTCATAGAGAGAGAAAGAAACTGACTTTTGATTTACATTTTACATTTTATACTTCCTTATAATGTTCAAATTTTAACCATATGAATATATTGCCTTATATAAAATACTTTTATGAAATTCTTAAAAAGAACAAACAATATTGTATATCTTTAAAAATTATTTTTTTAATATATTTTTGTTGATTTCAGAGAGAGAGAGAAAGAAAAACATCAATGATGAGAGAAAATCACTTATCAGCTGCCTCCTGCATACCCCACATGAGGGACTAAGCCCACAAACCAGGCAGCAAGTGCCCTGACTAGGAATTCAACCATGATCTCCTGGTTCATAGGTTGACACTCAATCACTGAGCCATGCCAGTCAGGCTAAAAAAATTTTTAAGTTAGATTTATAGTTAACATAGATGGCAATTAATTCACCATTGATCAAATTAATTAAAACTTTAAAACTTTTACCATAAACAGATTAAACAGTATATATTCTAAACATACAAAGATTAGAATTATCTATGAAATGCTTTACTTACAATCCTCCTTCTAAGAAATTACAAACATTTTCATCTCTCTTAGATACCAAATGGAATGTCTCCCTGATGATTTGCTGTTGTGTATCTTCACTCTGAGAAAGAATAATTCATATATGTTAGGATTGGATTTGTAGGTTTAACAGCATTTAAAATTTTTAAAAATAGGTTTCTGGTTAAGACGGTGGAGTAGAAAATGCTGTGCTCACCTCCTCTCACAATGACATCAAAATTACAAAGAAACTACTATAAGAAAACTATCATTGAGAACCTCCTGAAGGCTAGCTGAATAGATATACTAAGGTATACTGAAGAAGTCACGTACAATAAAGGGGGGTGGACAGTGAAGATGCTGAATGGGCTGGTCCAACACCCACATGTGGTGGCTAAAAATTGAGAGGGATCTCTTGGCTGCTTAGGTGCCTCCTGAGTAGCAAGGAGTCCCAGCCCCATACTAGGCTACCCAGACCAGGATTCCAGGGTTGGGAAGAGAAATCCCTGTATCTTCTGACTATAAAAACCAGAGGGACTGTGGCTGAGTGAGATGGAGGGTTGCTGGAGTTCCAAGCATTTGTCTTAAAGACTGGCACACAGACTTACTTGCTGACAGATTCACTCGCTCTGGGGAGGCAGCTCAAAAGGTTCCAGGAACATATGGAGCAGAACTGATTTATTTGGCTTCAGAATGAGGGCTAGAGGGGCAGCTTCTGCCCAGACAGAAGTGCTGGCAGAGAACACTGTTCTTTTGTTGATCCCTCCCTCAACCCATCCTGCACTTGCAGGTGGGTGCTGTATCTTAACCTCCACCCACCTAGCAAACACAGTTAACCCAACCCTGATGATTCCCTGAGACTCCATCTCACCCAGATTGCAAGTACACCCAAGCCACTTCCAGTGCTTTTCCATACAAACAGTCTATCTTGGCTCACACTTCAGACTTTCCCAAAATCTCTTAAAGGTCCACAAACTCCAAAGAAGCAGTATCTGTTCTTACTATGCCCCGTATCTCTTGCAAAGCAGCCCCAAGCCTGACAATACTGGTAGTCAGCCTCAGTCACCTGAGCCTCTCCCAGGCACCTCCAAATTCAGTCAAAGGGCAACTATCTGTAGATCACTTTGTAGCGCATACCAAATAGCCCAGATAGGGCAAAGGCAACAGTTAACTTTGGCCTGCACCAGAGTCCCTCCCAACAAAGATTGGGACACACTCAAAGTGCAGACTTTGCAGGTGTCAGAACCCTACAGCAAATCCTGCTCTGTAGGGCCAACCCCTACACAACAGCTCCTCCATTGTGGTTAGAGCCAGTCCTCTCAACCAATCATCCAGAGGGTCAACCTCTCCTATTGATGTGTCAACAGTAATCAAGGCTCAATTACAACAAGAGGAACACACAACCCACAGGACTGGCTCACTGGGCCCCTCATGACAGTCCATAAGGCCATTCTATCAAGACCAAGAAAGATGGCAGCTCTACCTAATACACAGAAACAAGCACATGGGAATAAAGAAACATGTCCCAAATGAAAGAACAGAACACAACTACAGAAAAAGAACTAAACAAAATTGAGACAAACAATCTACCAGATACAGAGTTCAAAACACTGGTTATATGTATGCTCAATTATCTCAGTGAGATCAACCAAGAGACAAGAAACATAAAAATGGAGAAAGAAAATATAAAAAATAGTCAGAAATGAAGAATATAATAACTGAGATGAAGAATACATTAGAGAAAATCAACAATATATTAGATGAATCAAAGAATTGAATCAGCAATTTGGAAGATAAGATAGGAGAAAACACCTAATCAGTACAGCAGAAAGAAACAAGAAACAAAAAACAAAAAAAAAACACAAATATTATTTCAGGGGCCTCAAGGACAATTTCAAGCACACCATCATTCACATCATAGGGAGTACCAGGAGGAGAAGAGAAAGCCAGGGATTGAAAACCTATCTGAAGAACTAATGACCGAAAACTTCCATAACCTGGCAAAGAAAATAAACATATAAGCCCAGAAAGCACAGAGTCCTAAAGAAGATGAACCCAAAGAAGCCCATGCCAAGACACATCATAATTAAAATTATGATGCCAAAGGTTAAAGACAAAGAGAGACTCTAAATAGCAGCAAAAGAAAGACCTATTGTTACCTACCTATAAGACTGCCAGCTGATTTCCTAACAGAAACATTTCAGGCCAGAAAGGATAAGCATAATGTATTCAAAGTGATGAAAAGCAAGGGACTACAACCAATATTACTTTATCCAGCAAATCTATCATTTAGAATCAAAGGAGAGATAAAATGCTTCCCAAACAAGAAAAAGCTGAAGAAATTCGTCACTACCAAACCAGTATTACAAGAATGTTAAAGGGATGTCTTTAAGAAGAAAGAAAAAAAGATCAAAGTTATGAATAATAAAATGTCAAATACATATCTACCAACAATTACTTTAAAAGTAAATGGATTAAATGCTCCAATCAAAGACATAGGGTAGCTGAATGGATAAGTAACCAAGACCCTTACATACATTGTCTAAAGAGACTCACTTTAGATGGAAAGACACACAGAGACTGAAAATAAAGAGATGGAAAAAGAAATGTTTTGAAAGTGGAAATTAAAAAAAAAATGAACAGCTGAGGTAGCAATACTTATACCAGACAAAATAGACTTTAAAACTAAGGCTATAACAAGAGACAAAGAAAAACCAGCAATTTCACTTCTTGGTATTTATCCAAAGAAATTCAAAACACTAATTCAAAAGGACAGAAGAATCCATATACTCGCTGCAGCATTATTTACAGTAGCCAAGATATGGAAACAACTTAAGTATCCACCAATAGATGAATGGAAAAAAAGGGTACATGTATACAATGAAATATTACTCAGCCATAAAAAATGAATTCTTGACATTTGCAACAACATGGATGGACCTAAAGCATATTATGCTAAATGAAATAAGTCATACACAGAATGACAAATACCATATGATTTTACTTATATGTGAAATGAAAAAAAATAATAATAAATGAACACATGAAACATAAACAAAATCATAGATATAGAGAACATTTTGATGGCTAGCAGATGGAGGGAGGTTGGAAGAATGGGTAAAAAAGGGGAAGAGATTCAGAAGTCCAAATTGCTAGTTACAAAACAGTCAATAAAAAACATATTCTCGGGTGAGGATTTAAAATAGTAATAATAATAAATGATGTAATAACTAGATGGGTACTAGATTTATTGGGGTGATCACTTTGTAAGTTATATAGATAAAACTAACAATATTTATGTCAACTGTAACTGAAAAAAATTATCAATAAAATATATAATTTTTAAAATGAAAGATAGTGATGGGAAATTCACCTGATAGTTCCTTGAAGAGCTAACATTATCACATCTTACAGAAACAGAACCCAACATTTTCTTATGGAAAACAAAACAAAACAAAAGTCAATGTTTTATAGTTAACAACTACAATATAACTACTTATTTCTAAGTTTCAAGACCAACAAAAAAAATATTAGACAAGGGAATTATAGATATTAGTAAAAGGGACACTAGATATTAAATAGTTAAAGCCCACTGTTTTACAAATGAGTAAACTGAAATAGAGATGCTATAAATAATTCATATAGCTAATCTATTTTTTAATGGAACAAAGTCTGGAGCTTCTAATTAAGTAAGCTTTACTAAATGCAAATTGAGGTAAGAGGCCATTCATCTTACTCAAGTTTATATCTTATCAGAAAATGGGTTCTTGTATGTGCCCTGACAGGGGATCAGACTGCAACCTTGGCATATTAGTATGATGTTCTGACCAACTAAGCTACCGAGCCAGGGTGCAATATACAAATCATGTATCATAAAAATGTACATTTGAAACTTGTACGATACTATTAACTAATGTTGTCCCCAATAAATGTAATTTAAAAAGAAAAATGGAAACCAGAATGAGGAATAAAATATGTAAGATGCTCATATTCTCACAGCAACAAAAAAGAAAGGGGGTGGGGGAGGGGAATCACCTGCTAATTTAAACTACAATCACATCATCAAGTAACCATACTATGGATGAAATATGTAAATATGTCCAAAAATATCAAGTATTGTCAAGAATGCATAACAACAAAGCACTTATACAGTACTAGAAGAACTATAAATTGGTACCACTTCTGAAAAGAGACCAAAATTGCCTAGTAAAGCTAAACATGCAAGTACCCTAGGACAATGTTATTCAACTCCTAGTTATGTCCTAGAGAAATTATAAAAAATGTTTGCAAGACTGCTTATAGCAGCACTGTTTATAACAATAAGAAAACATACATTAATCCCAGAATGTATAAACTGTGGTTTATTTGTGCATGGAATTGCACAGCAATGAAAATTAATGACTACAGTAGATATAATGCCAATGGTGATCTTAGAAATTTTGTTTTTAAATTAAGTCAAAGACGATAAACATCATGATTTTATTTTTAGTTCAAAAACATGCAAGACTAAACAATAAATTACTTAAAGACAAAAATATGTAGCAAAATAAAAATATAATATTATTTTTAAAATTCAAAATGGTTGTTATAGAGAGGAAACAGGATGAAATACAAGAGAAATACAGGGAGATTTCAAAGATATTGGTAATTTTAAAAAAAGTGGTGAACGCATAGTAATTAGGGCATTACTTATAATATTTTACAGATATTTAATATATCAATATTCTTTTATACCTATTAAATATTCCATTAAAATATACCTGCATATAAGTACAACCAATGGACATAAAACTCTGGGGAGGGAGGGGATACATGGGAGGGAAGGAGGGGGGCAAAAAAAAAATCAATAAAATATGTAAAATAAAAAAAATAAATAAATAAAAATAAATAAATAAAAAAAAAAAAAAAAAAAAAGTTGAAAGGGATAAGACAGTTGCCCTTTTCCTTCATCATGTTTACTTCATTGTCACCTCCTTCTAGTCTTCACCTAGAGCTAAATGGTAGTCCTAGGATGACCTTTTCTACTCTGTGGTTTCAACCATGTTATTATCTCCCTAATCGTTAATTGTCCCATATCTCTAGTACCTAAAAGAAGGTACTACA